AGTGTCAATGGCATTTATTTATTGGTGCTTCATATTTGGTTCACCAGGAGGCATACTCTGAGATGGTGTTTATTTTTTAGGGTATGCATGAGGGAGAGCCCTTAGGATCAAACCTTTGAAGAGAGGTAGAAGCAGCAGGGTTGGCATGGGGAGGGGTCTAGCTGTGATGTAGTCTCAGCCAACTCAGTGGGGAGCTCTGGAGTGAGAAAGGCCTGGCAGAGATGTCTTGAACTGGGCCGACATTTCCAGTGCTTTTAAACTCTAATCAGTCATTTGACTGCGGGCCGCCCCTGGAAGGATATGACTTTTAGGGGAGAGGATTCTTTATGGCTGAGACTGAGACAGTCCCAGAAGGGGCTGACAGCAAAAGCTGCATACCCCACAGCTGGGGCCATAGATCTTCCTAGTGACTCCCTCAATGTCACATGGCTCAGAAGTGGTAAGGAATCTAGGATTTCTGACGCCTACTTAGGAGAGTTTCTGTCTTTCTCATGTGATGACCCAGTGGGACCAGCACCAAGCTTGCCAATATGGTCTCTAGGCCTTGTTCTTGGCAGCAGTGGCTGAGCTATGTGGACTTTATGTGAGAGCAATATTTCTGAAAAACCTCAGGTGGCCTAGGTTTAACAGACTAAGTTCCGGGATTGGCTGAGGCAAAGAATTTCTGGCATGGAGTCATTGCTAGTTTACCAAGTTCTCTCAGACAATTTATTATAAATCTGAAGGGACACTGAACTGGCCAGCTTGCTTCCCATTTTTGTTCATTTCCAGGGTGAATACTGACTTTGGCGTCTCTCTGGCTCTCTTTGCTGCCTGAGTATGTCAGTCTTGATCTAAAAATAGCCTGAATCTTAGGAGGTTCAATGTGGGTTCGCTAGGGTTCAATTTTTCTGGGAGTTTGGAGAGGAGGATGAAGGGAGTCATTAAGAAGAGAAAGAAAAGATTTTGTTTGTGGTGAACATGTATGGCTTTGGGCATTACAAAACGAGCCATTGCTTCAGGAAGGCTAGGTTAACATAGAAGAGGCTGTCCATTAACCTTTAAGCAAGCAAGGAATCGTGATTCAGCTGTGTAGACACAGTAGGAGAGAGACAATGACTGATGGCTGAAGAGACAGCATGGAGGTAAAACAAGAAACATGGTCCTGGAGTCAAAAGCTCTGGATTCTAGCTTTTACTCTGCTTCTTACCCAATATACCTTTGGGTCAAAGTCTTCATCTCTCTTGGATTTAGTTTCTCCACATTCCAAATGGGTCTGCTTATGTCGAATTTGCCTTATTCCTTTGATTGTTACAGGGAGCAAATGAAACAATGGATGTAAATAAGTGAAGTTCCATATAAAAAAGGATTCATTTCTTAGGCCCTTTCAGACCAATTCCAGGGCTTTGGGCAGTTTTTGGGACTCCTGTGATACGTACAAAATGTTAGGTGTGCTCTGAATGAAGAGAACAACCTAAACAGGCTTTGTGTGAGCAAGAAGGCTGTTGATTCCCCAAGGTGCAGATGGGCTGAGTCTGAAAAGAGAGTCAGCAGAGGGTGGTGGGCTAGGAGCTGGTCTTATAGGTTTGGCGAAGGCAGTGGAAAGTTACAGAAGTTACAGTTCAGGGTGGTTTTTGCAAGGGGTGAGTGGGTGTCAGAGTGAGGGGGGTGCTGTGTGTGTCACAATGTTCAAGTTCCAGTGTCACAAGTTTGGCTTATCAGTTGAGGCAGAACAACGATGGAATGTTGCAAGGTTGGTTAATCAGGCACTGCAGGAGCTAGCTATTCTCCTCCTTCAGTGGTTTTCTTGTTATCTTAGACTTTCTGGCTTCAGGAGGCCATCTGGAGGTGTACGTATGGGTCAGAGGGGTCACCATGGCTTGACCATGGTGTAATTCATGGTGCAGTCAGTTCAAAGAACCTTGCATTCCTGCCTTTTTATATTAATAATATAAAGGTAAAAAAGTAAAAACCACAAAAAGTGGGGGGCAGTAAAATTTTAGGGGCAGTACAGAGGGGTGATGGGTGATGTTTCTCAGGGCCTCTTTGCGAGGGATTGGGGGTGTCATGGAAACTTAATAATGGGAGACATTTTAGATTGCTGAGACATTTTGGGGCAGGAGTGATAGTGGGGTTGTTAGAAGGAGCATTTGCCATATTGACTGATTGGTTATAGCTTGGATATGATTTTGTAGGAATTGACAGATTAGTCAGAAAAGGCAAGGTCCAAATAAGAGAAGGAGAGGGATAGATATAAGGGCCTGCTAATGGAAGGAGCCATTATACCCGGTTAGAGAGTGGCCAGCTAGGTCCAGAACAATCATTTGCCTGCTTAGGGAGCTTTTGGGCCCTGTCTTGAAGTCTGTTGATGGCGTCATATACAAGGTCAGACTGGCTTAGATAAAAGCAGCCTTTTTCATTTAGGAATAGGCAGAGTCCCCCTTTCTTAGCAGTTAGTAGATTGAAGCCTTGGCGATGTTGGAGGACAGCTGCTGCCAAGGAATTAACTTGGGCTTGGAGGACAGATAGTGTCTGGGTTATGTCTGTAATGCTGGTGGAGAAATGATTAGAGAGACAGAAACGTGGTGATGGAAGGAGTGAGGCCCGCTATACCTGTCCCCGCTGCGGCGGTGGAGACTCCTCATCCTACAAGCAAGGGGATTAATGGAATGGCCTTTTTTTTTGTTGTGTAGGAGTTACAAGGGGGACAAGGAAGTGTTGATTTCCATTGGTAAAGGGGATTTTGGGAGTAAGGAAAATTAAGGTACAGGTGCCTGTTTAGTTGGCAGGAAGACACAGGTAGGTGGAAGAGCTACAGAAGAGAAAACGTTTTTGGCTTAGGCAGAACTGCAAGTGTGAACTGAAAGGTGAGAAAGTGTCTGGGGAGGTCTGGGGTCTTGTACCCGAATACCAAGGGAACTAGCAAGGGCTGTGGCTTTTCGAGGTTGCTGTGGGGTTTGATAGGGTAATTGTGTGGAAGGAGAGGTGTTGTTTTAATGGTGTATGAGAAAGCATTTGGAATGTATGAGTAACTGTTCGGTTGCATTAACAAGGTTAGGTATGAGCAGGCAGGAAGAGAGGTCTGGAGGAGAGTCTGCTGAGCAAGGGGAGGGCGGCCAAGCGTGGCGTGAGACACAGGGTAAATGCCTGCCTAGGCAAAACTTGCTACTGACATTCTGCAGACTGTGAGGCTGGTACGTTCCTATTTCTTGGTTAATGTGGGTAACAGGGCTTTGGAGGTGGAGTGTGAAGAAGCACAAAGAGGGTGGGAGGTTTTCCAGGGGAATTCCTGCGGGTGATTGTCAGGAAATGCACAAGCGGGTGGTGATAGGGATAGTTGTTTGTGCGGTTGATGGTCCAATAACGTGGGGTGTGGAGTTCGTATAGGGTGAGAGGTTATGTAGGTAGGTGCAAAGAAGAGCAGTGACCTGTTGTTATGAGGTATCTGGGGTGTTTCTGTGGAGGAGAGGAGCTCTTCCAGGGGGTCCAGGTGGGGCTGGTTGAAGGAAGTCCAGAGGTGTAAAGAGACAGGAGAGTTTGCGCAGTCTGCTGGTAGGGCGGGGATGGCTGTGTAGGTGGAAGAGGAGAGGGATTTTAGAGCTGCTCGGGAGAGTATAGGGATTTGGCGCTACAGGATGGACGGGGAGCTCTACGTGATTACAAGGCGAAGGTTTTGGACTAACCTGTAGGGCTCGTCCAGTTTTTGGACGGGTAGGATGGGGGTTTTGTAGGAAGAGTTAGTGGAAACTAAAAGGCTGTGTTGTAGAAAGTGGGTAATAACAGGAGTTAGGCATTTTTTTTTTTTTTTTAGACAGAGTTTCGCTCTTGTTACCCAGGCTGGAGTGCAGTGGTGCGATCTCGGCTCACCGCAACCTCCGCCTCCTGGGTTCAGGCAATTCTCCTGCCTCAGCCTCCTGAGTAGCTGGGATTGAGTTAGGCCTTTTAAGGCTTGTGCTGGGATGGGGTACTGGCGCTGGGTAGGATAAGGGTGGTTAGATTTTAAGGGGATGCTGAGTGGTGAGTGAGCAAGGGATGGGGAGGTGGTGTTCTACAGCCTAGGGTTAAGGTAGGGGGACATAAGGGGAGCTATTGAGGGAGGTAGGGCTTGCGGTGGTGCGGGGGGTGAAACGGCATCAATGCGTGTGGCTATAGCTCAGGAATAAAGAGGCAGACAATTTTACTAGGATATCTCGGCCTAACAGGGGAACTGGAGAAGTGGGGATGATCAGGAAGGAACGTGGAAAGGAGTGCTGGCCTAATTGACACCAGACTTGGGGAGTTTGGAGAGGCCTGGAGGCCTTGCTGTCAATTCCCACAGCAGTTAGGGAGGCCAAGGAGACAGGTCCTTGAGAAGAAGGCAGCGAGGAGTGGGAGGCCCCTGTGTTGATTAAGAAGGGGAGGGACTTACCTTCCACCGTAAGAGTTACCTGAAGCTCAGTGTTCGTGATGGTCCAGGGGGCCTCCGAGATGTTCAGGCAGCGTCAGCCTTCAGCTGCCAAGCCACAGCAACGTGAGTCAGACAGTCAGACTTCCAGTGGGGGCCCACACAGACAGGGCAGGGCTTAGGAGGAATCCTGGCGTGTAGGCATTCCTTGGCCCGGTGGCCAGGTTTCTGACATTTGAAGCAAGGTCTGGGAGGGGTAGCTGGATGCTGCAGTCTGGGCGCTTTGAAGTCTTTGTGAGCCAGTGGTGTGGCTGGGGTTTTTCATACAGTAGAGGCAAGCATCTGTAGTTCTGAGATGCCCTGTGGCTGGGCAGCTTCTTCCCTGTTACTGAACACCTTGAAGGCGAGGTTGATGAATTCCTATTGTGGGGTTTGAGGGCCATATTTTGATTTCTGTAGCTGTTTAATGTTAGGGGCTGACTGGGTGATAAAATGCATATTAAGTGTTTTTCAGGGGTGGCAGGGGAAGTAAGGATGATATTTAAGTTACTCCAGGCGAGATTGGAAGACTGGGTTAAGTATTAAAATTCTTGTGTATATTTGGTGGGATCTGATGGACATTTTGTATGGACCACAGAGTTCCCAAAACTGCCCAAAGCCCTGATAAGTGGCTGAAGACTGACGCTGCCTGAACATCTCGGAGGCCCCTGGACCATCATGGACGCTGAGCTTTGGGTAACTCTTACGCTGGAGGGTAAGTCCATTCCCTTTTTAATCAATATGGGACCACCCACTCCACACTGTCTTCTTTTCAAGGACCTGTCTCCTTGGCCTCCATATTTGTTGGATCTGACAGACTGATTTATTTTCCTTTGGGTATATACCCAGTAATGGGACTGCTGGGTCAAACGGTATTTCTGTTTTTAGCTCTTTGAGGAATTGCTGCCAATAGTGTATAAACAATCCTTTTTTCCATAATCTCGTCAGCAACTGTTATTTTTTGACTTTTTAGTAATAGCCATTCTGACTGATATGAGATGTTATCTTATTGTGGTTTTGATTTGCATTTCTCTAATGATCAGTGATATTGAGATCTTTTTATATGCTTGTTAACCACATTTAAGCCTTCTTTTGAAAAGTGTCTGTTCATGCTCTTTGCCCACTTTTTAATGGGTTGTTTTTTTCTTGTAAATTTAACTTCCTTATAGATTATGGCTATTAGACTTTTTTTCTGATGCGTAATTTGTAAAAGTTTTCTCCCATTCTGTAGGTTGTCTGTTTACTCTGTTGATAGTTTCCTTTGCTGTACAGAAGCTCTTAAGTTTAATTAGATATTTGTCAATTTTTGCTTTTGTTGCAATTGCTTTTGGTGTCTTCATGGTGAAACCTTTGCCCATTCCTATGTCCAGAATGGTATTGTTTATGTTATCCTCCAGGATTTTTATAGTTTTGGTTTTCATATTTAAGTATTTAATCCATCTTGAGTTTGATTTTTGTATGTGATATAAGGAAGGGGTCTAGCTTCAGCTTTCTGCATATGGCTAGCCAGTTATGTCAGCATGGTTTATTGAATAGGGAGTCCTTTCCTCATTGCTTATTTTTGTCAGCTTTGTCAAAGGTCAGGTAGTTGTAGGTGCAGACTTATTTCTGGGCTCTGTATTCTGTTCCATTGGTCTATGTGTCAGTTTTTGTACCAGTACCATGTTGTTTGGTTATTATATTCCTGTAGTATAGTTTAATGTCAGGTAGTATGATGCCTTCAGTTTTGTTCTTTTTGGTTAGGGTTGCCTTGGATATTTGGGCTGATTGTTGGTTCCACATGAATTTTAAAATAGTTTTTTTTTCCTGATTCTGTGAAGAATGTCATTGGTAGTTTAATAGGAACAGTAGTGAATCTATAAATTGCTTTGAACAGTATGGCCGTTTTAATGATATTAATTTTTCCTATCCATGAGCATGGAATGTTTTTCCATTTGGTTGTGTCATCTCTGATTTCTTTCAGCAGTGTTTTGAAATTTTCATTTCAAAGATCATTCACCTCCCTAGTTAGCTGTAATCCAAAGTATTTTATTCTTTCTGTTGCAATTGTGGCTGGGATTACATTCCTCATCAAGCTCTTGGCTTGACTGCTGTTGTGATATAGGAATGCTAGTATTTGTGTACATTGATTTTGTATCCTGATAATTTGCTGAAGTTGTTTATTAGCTTAAGGAGGTTTTGGTTTCAGACTACGGGGTTTGTAGATATGTGTTTGTGCAGTCTGTAAACAGGGATTGTTTGACTTCCTCTTTTCCTATTTGCATGCCTTTTATTTCTTTCTCTTGCCTGATTGTTCCAGCCGGGACTTCCAATTATATTGAATAGGAGAGGGCATCCTTGTCTTGTGTCAGTTATCAAGGCAAGCACTTTCAGCTTTTGCCCATTCAATTTGATGTTGGCTGTGGGTTTGTTATAGGTGGCTCTGATTATTTTGTGGTATGTTTGAAGGAAGGTAATAGTACATTTTTTTTCTTTTATTGGAGAAACAATTTAAAGTATTTGTATATTACTTTGGATGATAGGACTTTTTGTAAAGGATTAGATTGTATATAATGACTCAAACAAAATAACATAATTTAGTGATTATGTCAAATATGGTATATGTGTCATTTGGTGATTATATTAGGTACTCTGTCATAATCATGATTATAACATAATTTAGTGATTTTATTAGGTACCCTGTTATGCATAGTCTAAACTGACACAGTACTGAATACAATAAGATATTCAATAAGTCACTATTAAAAAGGAATTCTTACCTATTTAGATTTTTACTGGGGAGGGATACTTATGCTATGAGTAGAAATGAAGACATATTGCAAAGTTAGACAAAGCCCTGGAAAACATTTTTCTTTTAATTTGTATTTTCTGTGTTCCGTATTTACTGGTATTAAATACGACTTTAATTGGTAAGAATCCTTTTAAAGATAACCGGGACACAGAACTGATTAATGACTTGTTAGCATTGTGAGAGCTGGAGACAAAACAGAATGTTCTGGATCCTCAGCCACATTATCATGCCCATTTTAAGGACTGAATACCACATGTGTTCAAACACTCATGTGCCTAATAATCATGCTGAGATTACTGTGGGATTTCTAGAGTTACAGACTAACTTCTTGACTTTTTACCACCTTTCTGCCCAGCTATTTAGTGACAGCATAGTTGATTTCGAGTTCTCTCGAAGTAGATGGTTCTAAGCCTGCTGTTCCACTCTTAGTTTTCCTTTCCTGTTCTATGCACTTGTACATAGGATTTAAATTCTCTATATGTTGCAAGCTCTCTGTGCCGAAGGAAACCATCTTTGTTATAAATGCCTGAAAGTTGACTATGTTCTCCCTTTGTTCTAGCTTTTGTTTCTATTATTACAATTAGTATAGTCTACCTAATAAAAAAGGGGGCACTTAACTATTTCCTAAAGGACTTATTAAGACCTTCTGCCTGTATTATCTAATTTAATCTACACAAAAGTCTTAAGATGTAAGTGTTGCCATTTCCATTTTGTAAAGGAGAAAATGAGCTAAGAAATATCTTGTTTGGAAAACCGTATTATTAGCATTCATTCATTAACCAAAGATTTATTGAGGTCAGTTTAAGACACTGAGTGTATGGTTGCCAAAAAGAGGGTCTTACCTTCATGAACCTTATATTCTAGTGGAATCTACATCACAGAACCTTTGACTTTAATACTGACATGTAATTGAACGACCCATACTGTAAAATCCTTGAAAGTAGAGATGATATCCGTAGACTATATCAATTCAATTACTGAATTGAATGAAATTCTGGCAATTAGGATTTATTCTTATCTGCCACCTGCTGTTTCCTCCTTACTGGATGTTTGAAAAGGTGCATACATAGGCATGGGTAGAATAGATGGATAGCCCCTCCTGAGCTGATTTTCTCCAGTGACTTTTCTTCTCCCCAAATTCCCATCAAGGGTTATTTAGCTGAAGGTTCTCTAATTTCTGGTTCCCCCTAGTAAGTGTCAAAAACAACATGGTATAAGAAACCCATAGTCTAGGAACTTGTCCTTGATAATTCAGCACAAATGAATTCATCGGTAAGTAGCGGTGGCTGTTTTCACTAGAGAAGCACAAGTTGAAGTACACTCGAAGAAAGCAAAAGTTCAGATCCTTTGTTCTGGCTGAGGCTTTCTTTTTTCTACCAGGCAACCGAGTATGGGCTAAGTAATGAGGGCAAATCACCAGGCCTAGAGCAGATACATGTGAAGGCAAAGACCAATGCTAAGGAGCTTTTGGTGACATAGGGAAGGAAGTGTGTCTGCGTGTGCGCGTGTGTGTGTGTGTGTGTGTGTCACAGTTTTGCCTGAAGCAGGACTCATATCTGAGTGTTGCCATTTGTAACTACTAAGAACACACCTCCTTTAAGCTTCGTTTCTCTTCGGATTTGGCTGTAAAAAGCCTGCACAGTTTATGTGGTGCTTTCGTTTCATGGGATACGATTATGCTTATTGTGTTAGGCTGGGTCAGCAATGTGTCAGAGCAGTACTGTATATCACTCCTCACCTAAATGCAGTCATGCATTTTCATAAAAGTAGCTACCTCCCCCTTGTGCCCATCTTTCATCTAAAGAGGAATTAAGGGAAGAAATGAAGCAAATAGTGTTTTTATGGATGTTTTTGCTTCATTTAAGCTGCCAGAGTAGTTTTGTGGTCCTAATTTAAAACCTATTATAGTCTAGAGAAGAGCTACCTAGAGGTGGAAAGTAAGAGGGTTTCACGTGGCTAAATGCGAAAGTGATTGTCAATGGCTGTTGGAACAATACTGAGGGCAATGAGGATCGTAGTGTTTTTGAAAAGCAGCCTGCAAATCAAATTCAAGGGGAGAAAAGATTTCTCGTTTTCTTATTTTTGGAGTCAGCAGGATTTCCAGCTGCATGTAATTTCAGGAAGTGATGTGGCTATTTATTCAATAATGCCTTGCAAATTTCCTGGGAAATGATGGAATAATTCTGATGAAGTTAAAGTGGTTATTGAAATATGAGATGTCATACTATTTGCCAAGTGTTATTTCTTGTCCATTTAATCATATGAATTCATTTTATAATGAAAGTAAACTCTTAGCAAAGACTTTCCATAGACATTTTCTAGGACTGAAAATACATTATTGAAATCCAGATCACCAAAGCCGACTGAATTAAATAAACAAACAGCGAGTGCCTCCTGCCGTGCCATGCATGATGCTAGGTATTGGGAAAGCAAAAAGTCACTTCACATTTTTTTTTTTTCCTGAACTCATAGAGCTTAATGACTGGTGGTAGGGACAGGCATTGAAGCAATGGGGCATTCAGACACCTGTAAAATGACAACACTGGGAAGTGCTATGTAGGGAAGGCTCATGGTGCTACAGCAGCATCTGGCATTCATGGAGAGCCTCTCGTGTATGTGGTGTCAAAGCTGAGACCTAAAGGATGAATAGAAATCACATAGGTAACGAGTAAGAACAAGAGTCCTTGAGGATGGCATGTATCGTCTTGAAAATTTCATGGTGGAGGGTAGCAGTACACAGTGGGGTGCATGGTACAAAAACAGGCTGGTGAATCAAGGGCTAAACCCTGAGCCTTGTAGACCAGGTGAAAAATCTTGTTGTCTATTTTAAGATAATAATGAAATAATTTTAGTAGCGGGGGTGAGGGTGGATGAGGGGTGATGCAACCATGTCTCTGCTTTGGAAATATTACTCTGGACGAACCGTGGAGGATGGATGTTAGAGGGTCCCAAGTGTGAATGGCAGAGCAGTTGTGAGGCTCCTAAAGATGTGCAGATGAGAAGGAATGTTAGCAAAGACTATGGATGTGGACATGCTTTATGGTTGGTTTAAAATCAATTTACAGTAGTTTCATCCCAGGTTCGCATCTATGTTCACTCACACGTACACATGAGCTGATGGTTTGTGAGATGTTTGAGAACCCGTTTCTCAGGATCCAGTCCTTGATTGTCTTTTCCTGCTTACATCAGGGAAGCCAAATGCATTTTTATCTCAAGTGCCTACTCTGGTTGACTGGTAGAAGGTCCTGGGAGAGCAATACTGAGAAGCTTCTGCAGTCACATAACGGCTTAGCAATAGAGAGCGCTTTAATAGCTCCTTCCGTGAGCACAGAGTTGGGAGTGGTGGCATGCATGCCTTTTCAGAGCCTTTACGGCTCACATTCCCCATGGCAGACTCACCATTTTTCTGCAGCGTATAGGAGTAGTACTTGTCCCAGCTCTCACAACTGTTTTCCTAGACACTCTGCCTCTTCTCCCTATGCTTTCTGGGATTTTGAAGTGCACCGTCTTGGGTCAGATTCGTTCTTCCTCTGAATGCGCTCAACTCTCTTAGACCCTTAACTACCATCTCTCCACTTGCTTTCTATCTTCTAAAACTTTGTAAACGTCTCTCATTTTCTGATATATCCATTGTATTCTTATTGTCCTGTGGATCACTATGTTTTTAGTAATCTCTTTTGGTCCATTTATATCTTCAGGGTTTCATTTATTCAATTTTCTGTTCGTTCAGTCTCCCATGTTTAATCAAAACTTGTGCCACGGTTTTCCACCTATGCTCTTTGGTATATACTTATTTAACTGAAGAAATGTGCAGCCATCAGAGAATATCGGTGAACAATTCACAATCTCTGTTAGGGCAAATGACTGGGTCTTGACATGTTTTGGCTGTGTCCCCATCCAAATCTCATCCTGAAAACCACTGCCATGATTCAGTTATTTCCCACCGACTCCCTCTCACAACACATGAGAATTATGGAAGCCGAGATTCCACAATCATGGGGATGGTTTTCCTCATACTGTTTTCATGGTAGTGAGTAAGTCCAATGAGATCTGATGGTTTTATCAGGGAAACCCCTTCACTTTGTTCTCGTCTTCTCTTCTTTTCTGCTGCCATGTAAGACATGCCTTTTACCTTCCTGCGTGATTGTGAGGACTCCTCAGCCATGTGAAACTGAGTCCATTCAACCTCCTTTTCTTTATAACTTACCCAGTCCTGGGTATGTCTTTATCAGCAGTGTGAGAAGGGACTAATACAGGTATGATTAAAATATTTTGGGCTTTGGTGTGTCTTTCCAGTTCCATCACTCCCCACACCTCCATAAGCACATTATCATTTCATACACCAATATACCTTTAGTTCACTGTCTTGACATATTTTCTAAGGGCTGTTTGTTGTTGATTATGTTCTCCGAGCTTCAAATTCCCTTCACTCCAGCTATATTCTTCTTACTCTTTGAAATCTGGTTTAGGTGCCCTTTATTTTGAAACCTAACTCCAAGTTACGATTCATATACTCTCTGTCACTCATCTGAATACCTCCTTTGGATTCATAATGTCTTTTGCTTTCTTGATTATAACATTTATGACCATATCAGGACATTTGATTCTCTTGTTTAGTTTATAAAGTAGACTGAACCCCTGGATGACAGGCTCAGGATTTATTCATACAGTATTTCCATGGACCTGTATTACAAAGTAGGCACTTGATACCTGCTTGTGGAATTGATGCTATGGGACTCCACTCCTAGAAGTGATCTGTTTTCATCACTTTAGTTCTAAGGTGCTATCTTCATAGTTGCGCTTCATGGACTCTCATTGTCAGGAAATTAACTGCGCAGAACGTGAGGTTACCAAGGGTCAGGTGCATGTTACTGATTCGGGCACAGGGAATTGTATGAGCCTTGTGAGCACAATGTAGAAATTCTCAATTGTATACACTGCAGGTGAAGTACATTTTATGTTGACGCACATGGTTAATTATTGAGGATTGGCTGACTATTAAAGCAATAGCCTCTTGTTCAATCTGTGTTGATGATGCAAATGGAAAACACAGCTAAAAATATCACTCATGTCTGAAAAAGCCAGCCCAAAAAATAAAAAGCAATTAGCTTGAACAGCTGGAAGCAGATTTTGCCAGCATGTGTGTTTACCGATGTTTGAGTACAGTTGGTTCACAACTTTGTACTTGGTGTAGTAGCATCACTCAAGTCCCAGAGGAGCAAACTTTCCTGATGTAGATATTTTTCCAAGCAGCCCCCTTCTTCCCTCTTCTTTCCCTCGCCCTCAATCATGCACTTAGGAGTCTATGATACATGATGTCAAATAACCTTAAGGACCTAGGAGGGAAAACAGGAGATAACACAGTAAATCAGAGCCAGCGGCCTCTGGGCCTATGTTGTCTATGTCTGAGTCCCAAATGCAGTGTTACCCTGTGACCTTGGAGAAGTTACTTACCCTCTGTGTACCTTGCTTTAAAATGGGCTTACAGGCCGGGCGTGGTGGCTCAAGCCTGTAATCCCAGCACTTTGGGAGGCCGACGCGGGTGGATCACGAGGTCAGGAGATCGAGATCATCCTGGTCACCATGGTGAAACCCCGTCTCTACTAAAAATACAAAAAACTAGCTGGGCACGGTGGTGCGTGCCTGTAATCCCAGCTACTCAGGAGGCTGAGGCAGGAGAATTGCCTGAACCCAGGAGGCGGAGATTGCAGTGAGCCGAGATCGCGCCATTGCACTCCAGCCTGGGTAACAAGAGCTAAACTCCATCTCAAAAAATAAAATAAAATAAAATAAAATAAAATAAAATAAAATAAAATAAAATGGGTTTACAGAGACATATTTCAGTATTGTTGTAGAATTAAATGACATACTTGTGAATTTCTTAGAAAAAGCTTTGGTATGTCATAATTCTATTATTCATTTATAGTTCAGAGGTCAAATACCAGTTTTGACTTCTTTTGTAGTGATGAAAAATATTCATTCCCAGCTACCTTGTCCAGTGAAAATCACACTGTCCTGAAATTCACACCAGAAACATAGAGTTAGTGCCAAGATCCTTCTGTGCCCTTGAATGCTTCTTAATATTTGTCATCTCTACTTCTATTCTAAAATCCAACTTGTACCTTTCATTTAAAAAAGGGAGCATCTACAGCCAATGAAGGAGTGTATCCTTTCATTACTATTCTGCTTAGTTTCTGTGTCGGTTGATGTTTTTTCTGTAGATTGTACGCTATCAATTTGAATGTATAGCAACATCAAACAAAAAAGCAGAAGTAATTAGGCTTGTCAGTCCACAAGAATTTTTGGACCCAGTATCCATGAAGTGGTAGGTAGATTATAATACCTAATACAGAGTATCAGAATGAGCTCTTACGGACTCACGCATACTCTCGATGTGGTATGAGATGCCACTGGCCTGAGCTAATGCATTACTTTTTATATGAATGAAGGTATTCAGGGACTTGAGAATAATTTTTCTTAATTAGTGTAACCCCTGCTTCCATTTTCTTTATACTACGCTTTGCTCACTGGTGCCTCCTTTCATGTTGTGTGAAAAGGCAAATTTCAGTCTTGTCTTGATGAATTATTAATTCCAGGATTCAGAGCACAAATGAGTACATATGTATGCCTCTGCACATGCATACCTATGCTTATAAAAAGTGACAACTGGCTAGTTGTGTTGCTCACACCTGTAATCATAGCACTTTGGGTGGCCGAGGTGGGCAGATCACTTGAGGTCAGGAGTTCGAAACCAGCATGGCCAACATGGTGAAACCCCATCTCTATTAAAAACACAAAAATTAGCCAGGTGTGGTGGCACATGCCTGTAGTCCCAGCTACTCAGGACACCAAGACATGAGAACTGTTTGAACCTGGGGAACTCAAGTTGCAGTGAGCCCAGATTTTGCCACTGCACTCCAGCGTGGCCAACAGAGAGAGAATCCATCTAAAAAAAAAAAAAAGTGACAACCTGTGGAGACTTCTGTTTATAACTGAAGATGTTAAAGTGTTAAAAAAAATTTTACATACCTTGCAAAAAGTAAACTACTAAAGCTAATATTCCATAGAAAACTAAATGGATATCAGATAGACTTGTAGAATGTATAATACTGGGTATACCCCCTGAACAAACACTTTAACAGGTTAAGTCTATTAGGGGAAATGTCATAAAATTTCCCTATGGGAACTTTTCTCTGGATGAAATCATCAGGTCTATTAAGAAATAGGGAAAGTTTAAATATCTAAGACTTTTAAAAGTCTGAGAATATTTTAGACCATAACTATCAACACAGAGACTGGCTTAGAGGTAGAGGGAAAATAGTAGGGAGAAACAGATACTTTAGATAATTAATAGTGTGGTATGCTTAGCTATAAAGGGAGGGAAATGAAAGTGTGTACATATCCAGAAGCAAAGAAAGGTAGTCTCTCTTTCCAAAGCTGACTCAGTGCTTATGAGCTAAGTGTTTCACAGTTGGAAAAGTAGGAGGGCAAGCTGATAAGAGAACTAGGAACTACTCATGCATTGTCTGAATTCCTGCAGGGTAGAAAGTGGACACTCCAAGGGTATTGCTCTGTGATCATTAGGAGGGTTTGGAGTCAGACAACCCTGAGGGGAAGTCACGTTCCATAGTCTGTAGCCATTGGAAGTGTGTCAGTGCTCCTGACCATAAATCCACCTTAGCTCAGCTATGCAGCAACCATAATAGCATGCTAGCAGTACAAAAAGAGGCACATAGACCAGTGGAACAGAATAGAGAGCACAGAAATAAGGCCATACACCTATGACCATCTGATCTTCAACAAAGCTGACAAAAACAAGCAATGGGGAAAAGACTCCCTAGTCTGTAAATGGTGCTGGGATAACTGGCTAGCCATATGCAGAAGATGGAAGCTTGACCCCTTCCTTATACCATATACAAAATCAACTCAAGATGGATGAAAGACTTAAATGTAAAATCTAAAACTAAAAACACCCTGGGAGACAACCCAGGCAAGCCATATGCAGAAGATGGAAGCTGGACCCTTTCCTCACACCATATACAAAATGAACTCAGGATGTATTAAAGACTTAAATGTAAAACCTAAAACTATAAAAACACTGGGAGGCCATCTAGGCAATACCATACTGGACACAGAAACAGGCAAAGATTCCATAACAAAAATGCCAAAAGCATTTGTAACAAAAGCAAAAAGTGAAAAATGGGATCTAGTCAAACTTAAGAGCTTCTGTACAGCAAAGGAAACTATCATATTTACCTAGCAGGGGAGATACTATGATCACAAGGGTGGATTTCCCCGGGTGAGGCTTACCTATTGCACCCTGGGTGTGCTGACCCCTGCAGTTTTCCTAAATGTGAGAAACTTGACTGCATAATTTGTGGTAGGAGGGTGACTGAGTTTGCTGCAGCTCCATGAGGGAGGGCAGGGCCTCTGCCTGCTCCATGGAGTGGGAGGTCTGGATCTGTAGCCATGACTTGGGAGGCTGCAGCTGAGCCCAGAAGGGTGAGCCTCCTGCCTGCTACTGGACCTGAGAGCACAGGCTCCATAGCCACAGCTTGGGTGGCTGCAGTGTACCTGGGGAGCTCCCGCCCCAACTCAGAAAGGGCAAGGCTCCCCCCCTCCCCTTTTTTATTGCATTTAAGGTTTTGGGGTAAATGTGCAGAACATGCAAGATAGTTGCATAGGTACACATGTGGCAGTGTGATTTGCTGCCTTCCTCCCTTTCACCCACATCTGGCATTTCTCCCCATGCTATCTCTCCCCAACTCCCCACCCCACACTGTCCCTCCCCTATTCCCCCCAATATACTCCAGTGTGTAGTGCTCGCCTCCCTGTGTCCATGTGTTCTCATTGGGCGATAGCTCCGTATTCAGGTCTCCTGGCCAGCTTGTGGGCTTATGCGTCCTTTTAGATCTGTGAGATAATCTGGGACACTGTCCTGGATTATTACTCAACTCTGCACTTGTAATTCCTGTCCTTGACTGGCAGAGATCGCCTGTTCTGTGTATGGCTGAGGCTTTGGGGGAAGTGCTGGCATTTCTCCCCATGTTATCCCTCCCCGCCCTCCTCACCACCGGCCATCCCTCCCCTAGCCCCCACCACTGCCCCCAGTGAGGAGCATATATGCTCCTCTTCCTGAGTCCACGTGTTCTCATTACTAACACCCGTCTATGAGTGAGATCATGCAGTGTTGGGTTTTCTGAGAATGATGGTTTCCACATTCATCCAAGTCCCTACAAAGGACACAAACTTATCATTTTTTATGGCTGCTTAGTATTCCATGGTGTATATGTGCCACATTTCTTTGTCCAGTCTATCATTTATGGGCATTTGGGTTGGTTCCAGGTCTTTGCTGTTGTACACAGGGCTGCATTGAACTTACATGTGGTTTTTGTCTTTGGTTCTGTTTATGTGGTGGATTATGTTTATAGACTTGCTTATATTGAACCAGCCTTATATCCCCAGGATGAAGCCTACTCGATTGTGATGAATAAGCTTTTTGATGTGCTGTTGCGTTCGGTTTGCCAGTATTTTATTGAATATTGTTCTGTCAATGTTCGTCGTGGATATTGGCCTGAAGTTTTCTTTTTCAGTTGAGTCTCTGCCTGGTTTTGGTATCAGGATGATGTTGGTCTAATAGAATGAGTTAGGGATGATTCCCTCTTTTTGTATTGTTTGGTATAGTTTTAGAAGGAAGGGAACCATCTCCTCTTTGTACATCTGGTAGAATTTAGCTGTGAACCCATCTGGATCTGGACTTTTTTTGCTTGGTAGGCTATTGATTGCTGCCTTGTTATTGGTCTATTTAGGGTTTCGACTTCAGTCCTTGTTATTGGTCTATTTAGGGTTTCAGCTCCTTCCTGATTTAGTCTTGGTAGAGTGCAAGTGTCCAGGAATTTATCCATTTCTTCCAGGTTTACTGGTTTATATGCATAGAGCTGTTTGTAGTAATCTCTGATGGTAGTTTGTATTTCTGTGGAATCAGTGGTGATATCCCCTTTATCATTTTTTTAATTGCGTCTATTTGATTCTTCTCTCTTGGATTTTTTATTAGTCTGGCTAGCAGTCTATTTTGTTGATCTTTTCAGAAAACCAGCTCCTGGATTTACTGATTTTTTTGAAGGGTTTTTTGTGTCTCTGTCTCCTTTAGTTTGGCTCTGATCTTAGTTATTTCTTGTCCTCTGATAGCTTTTGAGATTTTTTGATCTTGCTCCTCTAGCTCTTTCAATTTTGATGATAGTGTGTCAATTTTAGATCTTTCCTTGTTTCTCATATGGGCATTCATTGCTATAAATTTCCCTCTTGGCACTGCTTTAAAGGTGTCCCAGAGATTCTAGTAAGCTGTGTCTTCGTTCTGATTGGTTTCAAAGAACGTCTTTATTTCTGCCTTCATTTCATTGTTTATCCAGTTGAGACTCAGAAGCAAGTTGTTCAGTTTCAAAGTAGTTGTGTGGATTTGAGTGAGTTTCTTAATCATGAGTTCTTATCTGATTGTGCAGTGGCGTGATAGACTGTTTTTTATGATTTCCATTCCTTTGCATTTGCTGAGGACTGATTTGCTTCCAATTATGTGGTCAATTTTAGAGTAAGTATAATGTGGTGCCGAGAAGAATGTATATTCTGTGGATTTGGGGTGGAGAGTTCTGTATATGTCTATTAGGTCTGCTTGGTCCAGCTCTGAATTCAAGTCCTGGATGTCCTTGTTAATTTTATCTCACTGATCTGTCTGATACTGACAGTGGAGTGTTGAAGCCTCCCATTATTATTGTCTTGGAGTCTAAATCTCCTTTTAGGTCATTAAGAACTTGCTTTATGTATCTGGGTGCTCCTGTGTTGGGTGCATATATATTTAGGATCGTTAGCTCTTCTTGTTGGATTGATCCTTTACCATTATGTAATGTCCTTCTTTGTCTCTTTTGATCTTTGTTGGTTTGAAGTCCATTTTATCAGAGATTAGAATTGCAACCCCTGCTTTTTTTGTTCTCCATTTGCTTGGTACATCTTCTTCCATCCCTTTATTTTGAGTCTATGTGTGTCTTTGTACATGAGATGGGTTTCCTGAATACAGCACAATGATGGGTTCTGACTTTTTATCCAGTTTGCCAGTCTGTGTCTTTTGATTGGGGTGTTTAGACTGTTTACATTCAATGTTAATATTGTTGTGTATGAATTTGATCCTGCCAGTTACTGGCTGGTTTTCTTGCCCATTAGTTGACTCATTTTCTTCATTGCATCTGTGGTCTTTGCCAACTGGTTTGCTTTTGCAGTGACTAGTACTTGTTCCTTTCCATTTTTAGTGTTTCTTTCAGGAGCTCTTGTAAGGCAGGTCTGGCGGTGATGAAATCTCTCAGTAATTGCTTGTCCTTAAAGGATTTTATTTCTCCTTTACTTAATGAAGCTTAGTTCAGCTGGATATGAGATTCTGGGTTGAAAGTTCTTTTCTTTCTTTTTTTTATTGTACTTTAGGTTTTGGGGTACATGTGCAGATCATGCAGGATTGTTGCATAGGTACACACATGGCAATGGGTTTGCTGCCTCCATCCCCCGTCACCTGCATCTGGCATTTCTCTGTAAGTTATCCCTCCCTTACCTCCCCACCCTACTGCTGCCCCTCCCTTGGCCCCCCCAGTGTGTGATGCTCCCCTCCTTGTGTCCACGTGTTCTCATTGTTCGACACCCTCCTATGAATGAGAACATGTGGTGGCTGATTTTCTGTTCTTGTGTCAGTTTGCTGAGAATTATGGTTTCCAGATTCATCCATGTCCCTACAAAGGACACGAACTCATCATTTTTAATGGCTGCATAGTATTCCATGGTGTATATGTGCCACGTTTTCCCTGTCCAGTCTGTCATCGATGGGCATTTGGGTTGGTTCCAGGTCTTTGCTATCGTAAACAGTGCCGCTATGAATGTACGTGTGTGTGTGTGTGTGTGTGTGTGTGTGTCTTTATAATAGAATGATTTATAATCCTTTGGGTATATACTCAGTAATGGGGTTACTGGGTCAAATGGAATTTCTATTTCTAGGTCCTTGAGTAAGTGCCACACTGTCTGCCACAATGGTTCAACTAGTTTACACTCCCACCAACAGTGTAAAAGTGTTCCTATTTCTTCACATCTTCTCCAGCATCTATTTTCTCCAGGTTTTTTAATGATCGCCATTCTAACTGGTGTGTGGTATCTCAATGTGATTTTGATTTGCATTTCTCTAATAATCAGTGATAATGAGCATTTTTTCATATGTTTGTTGGCCTCATATGTCTTCTTTTGAAAAGTGTCTATTCATATCCTTTGTCCGCTTTTGGATGGGTTTGAAAGTTTAAGGATGTTCAATATTGGTCCCCACTCTCTTCTGGCTTGTAGGGTTTCTGCTGAGAGATCTGCTCTGAGTCTGATTGGCTTCCCTCTGTGGGTGACCCGACCTTTCTCTCTGGCTGCCCTTAGCATTTTTTCCTTAATTGAAACCCTGGTGAATCTGATGATTATGTGCCTTGGGGTTGCTCTTCTTGAGGAATATTTTTGTTGAGTTCTCTATATTTCTTGGGTTTGAATGTTGGCCTGCCTTGCTAGGCTGGGGAAGTTCTCCTGGCTAATATTCTGGAGCATGTTTTCCAGCTTAGATTCATTCTCCCCATCACATTCAGTACACTGATCAAATGTAGATTAGGACTTTGCACATAATCCCATATTTCTTGGTCGTTTTGTTCATTTCTTTTCATTCTTTTTTCTCTTGTCTTGCCTTCTGTTTTTATTTCATTGAGTTGATCTTCAACTTCTGATATCTTTTCTTCTGCTTCATTGATTCAACTATTAAAACTTGTGTTTCCTTCCCGTAGTTCTTGTGCTGTTTTTCAACCCCATCAAGTCGTTTATGTCCTTCTCTAAGCTGGTTTTTCTAGTTAGCATTTCATCTAACTTTTTTTCAAGGTTTTAGTTTCCTTGCATTGGGTTAGAACGTGTTCCTTTAGCTCAGAAAAATTTGTTATTACCCACCTTCTGAAGCCTGTTTCTGTCGATTCTTCGCACTCTTTCTTGGTCATGTTGTGTTCCTGTGTTGTTGAGGAGTTGTAATCCCTTGAAGGAGAAGAGGCGTTTTGGTCTTTGATGGTTTCATCTTCTTTTGTGCTGTTTTTTTTTTTCCATCTTCATGGATTTCGGGGACCTGCCTGATGAGTCTGCCTATGGAGGTGCTACTGAGTTTCCAGGGTCTCCTTCAGGTTGCTAGGTAGGCTTCCTGTGTCTTTTTTGTTGACACTGGGTGGTTAGGCCCGCCTCTTCCACTGACCTGGAGGCACTGCTGGGTGGTCAAGAACACTGTCCTGTTGATAAGTAGGCTTCCTGTGTGTTTTGTTAAAACACGAAGCCTAGTCCCACCTCTTTAATGGTGGGTTACGCCTTTCCTCCACGGAGCTGGATCAGTCAGGGTTCAGCTCAGACTTAAGCACTGAGACACTGGCTGTGTAACCTGCTAGAGTTAGTGCTTCAGCCCTCTGGGGTTTGTGTGGGACAGTAGGGACCCACCCGGCTGCATGTCTGTCTCCCCACTTTCAGCTCCTTCTCTCTCTGGGCAGGTGGAAGGGGCGATAGCTCCATCTTCAGGTCTCCTGGCCAGCTTATGGGCTTATGCGTCCTTTTAGATCTGTGAGATAATCTGGGACACTGTCCTGGATTCTTACTCAACTCTGCACTTGTAATTCCTGTCCTTGACTGGCAGAGATCCCCTGTTCTGTGTATGGCTGAGGCTTTGGGGAAGTGCTGTGTCTGGACCGGGGTGCCAGAGGAGGAGCCTCCAACTCACTGGTCAGATGTACTTTCTGGGGTGAAGCAGCACCCCTCCCCACCTTGCTCTGCTCTGCCTGGGCATTGCTCACCATCCAACCGGATCCATTGAAATGCACCTCGTACTTGAGTGAGAGAGAGAGAAAGAAGCAGAAATCGAGAGATCTCCTAGCTCTCGATTTCTGCTTCTCTCTCGCTGGGTGTTGTTCACTGGAGTTGTGTCTATTTGGCCATCTTGTTCTCTCCTCTCAGAAACTTTTAAAGAAAGACACTATCTGCTTCCCTTTGGACCCGGTAGGTTTGTAACTTTTCGATATGGTAAATATTGTAGGATATAATTAAAATAAGTACTTATTTAGTTTGTAGAATAATATTTTGGTATACTCATACGCATTGTGTATTTTGGACACTTGGAAAAATGATTATCGTATTTAAGCTCCACACATCAAGTTACTGAAAAGCTCAGAGTTTTCATCAAAGCAGAGTGTAGATAAGTTTTAGAAGTATTTTATTGTATCAAGTTGTAAAGACGCAATTAGACAACTTAGGCCAGCAGATGGCACTCTTACCTTTGTCCTCATTTAAAGAGATGTTTGGGCTTGTGGCAACTTCTCTCATAACTAGATCTCAGAAACTGTTGAGAATTGTATTTTCCTATTTTTATTCAAACGCAGTTTTATAACAAAGCAATACAGCTATTTTTACTTTTATAGAGAAAAGTGGATGAATGGACAAAACCATTTCTATAGATAATCTGTTCAATTATTTGTTAGCACGTGAAAGTTAAGATCCACATGGATGAAAAATGCTCTGCAAACGCGTTCTGTAGTGTAGCAGTGTGTTTTCTTCCTTATTTATGAACGCAGAATCTTAATCTGATAAATCCAGCTGGAAGAACAATAGAATGAGAACAATGCTCCTCTTGTCCTTTGTTTCTGGAATTTCATAATATCTTGAAATCATAGGATTTTTGTGCGATAAGGAGCCTTTTGTGCGATAAGGAGTTGAACATGCAAACTTTTAGGTGAGGAAACCAAGGCCCAGAGAAGTGAAATGACTTGTCCAATTTGAAGGTAGAAATACTTGGTTTTAATTGAAAGCAGAAAATGGGACTCACTGTCTTCAGAGCAAAGCTGCACAGTAACCTTATGCTTTATAATCGTATTTTGCCGTGTTGTTGTCTGACGGCATAGAAGGCAAGGAAGCTTTGGCCACTTGACATATTGGTGGAAATCGATACATTTTCATGCTTTTTCTGCTTTTGCTTTTTTTCTAAATAAAACTTCACAAAGCAGCTAAGAATTCAGAAATGCCTGTCAGATATATCTAACAAGTCAAATCAGGCAAAAAACATGTGGTAGGAAACTTTTTCTGTGGTAAGTACAAATTTAAAGAGGGATGCATACGTCTTTAATCAAATTTAATTTAATAAAAAGGGGGCACACCAAGACTAGGGTAGTCTACATGTTGCAGGCATAAAATTTCCAAACCCTGAACTAGTTAACTGGGTAGTTCATTTGCAGTGGAGATATTTGTGGAACCAGGGTTGTATTTGTGGAACCAGAGATTAGTGGAGTAGGGTATCCAGTTGGTCTTCAAGAATATTAGTATACAAAAAAAAAATCTCGTCCCAGCATGGTGGCTCACGCCTGTAATCCCAGCACTTTAGGAAGCCAAGGCAGGTGGATCACTTGGGGTCAGGAGTTTGAGACCAGCCTGACCAACATGGAGAAAACCTGTCTCTACTAAAAGTGCAAAATTAGCCAGGTGTGGTGGTGCATGCCTGTAATTCCAGCTACTTGGGAGGCTGAGGCAGGAGAATCGCTTGAAGCTGAGCGGTGGAGGTTGCGGTGAGCCGAGATCACGCCATTGCACTCCAGCCTGGTGACAGAGCCCGACTCCATCTCAAAAAAAAACAAACAAACTCAGTTCTTTATTGTTATGAATCAAATTAAATATGGATTATTCCATTTGCCTGGATAGCAATTTTTTTTTTTTTTTTTTTTTTTTTTTTTTTTGAGGAGCACTTCCCTACCTTAGTCAGAATGGGAAAGCACCCAGGGGATTTAGTGAACCAGAAAAATGGTCTCTGTTCTCTGTGTTTGTTGATAGTTGCTGAGACGTTTGTTGTTTCAGTGTGTGTGTCCCTTTTGGAGGCGTTTCCCCTTTACCATTCAGTGCTCCACTGGGCACTGACCCAGAACCTTCCAGCTGTGCAGAGTTCTAGACATTCACACAGAAGCTCTGCTACTTCTTAGGTGCTGTGAAGGGTCAGCGTGTCTTCTCCCAGCCTACGGCCACTGCTCGTGTCCAGCACCCCCAGCTTCCAGTCTCTGGACACCCAGCTCACTTCGGGTCTCGTGGGGCGGAATCCTCCAGGCCCTTTGGGACTGTATTGCTTAATTTGCTCGAGTGGGTCTGAAACCAAAAAGGGTTCCTTGTCTCCTCGGGGTTCAGAACACAAAAGGGTGTCTGAGAGAAGAAAAGAAAAAAAATCATCTCTTTTTGTTTTTGGACGGTGTGTTTTCAGCAAGAAGGATAGGACAGTTTTTAATTTCTCAATAATGTGGCCTATTTCATAAGGCTGCACTTTGTTCTACCCATACATTTTTATGCCGAGTGACAATACAGGAGGAGCTGAAAGGAAGATCCAAATTCACAGAAGCTGCTGCTTCTGAGTGTTGACAGTAACCGGGTCCCTGAGCTCCCGCTTGGTAAAAAGGGGTTGAAGTGGAACAACTGTTAGAAGTAGGCAGAGTAGAGTTCGTGCGGAGGGTGAGGAGCCGTGTTGTTCTCCCAGAGGACAGGCCCCTTCTTTGCAGCCAGGAATGTTTATTGCTGCTTAATGTTCTATTGCCAAACTAGATTTCGTATCTTCTCAGAAACCTTTAGCTTCCTACAAAATAGAATCCTACTCCCTCCTTAGGGACCTTGAAAACTGGCTGGGTTAATTTATGCTGGTGCCTTGTTGTAGTCAATAATAATACTAATTAGGGCACGAAGGCATCATCTAGATAAGTGAGTAAGTGCCTCCCCACCATTTTTTTTTTTTAGTTTTTGATGTATCTCCTAGACTAGGACCTGAGATAAATGTAAATGCCTACAGAATACCCCAGTGAGCAAAGCTCGTCAGATCTGTAAGGCAGAAGAAAAATGTTATTTCTGATATGCCCGCCGATTTCTCCACGTGGTGGTACCACAGCTGGAAGTTGGAGCTGTGCTTCCTCTTCTAGCTCCGCCAGACGGGTTCCTACCTGCTTGTGGGAAACGACTGGGTGCATCTCTCCCCAGCAGCATGTCAGGGCCATCATGGTATAGTTTGAGATCTGCATGGTGGAATTATTTACAAAGAGGGGCAAAGACTAAAAATAATAGCTGGTTGATAAACCAGGACATTACCACTGAAAAATCACATTTGAACCAGCTTTTTGAATAATTTATTAAAACAACAACAATGTAAGGACCTAAAGGCTGTTGGTTTCAACTTTATGTGAAAGGAATACCTAGAGAGAGAGTTCAGGTGATTGATAACGGGAAGGCTGCTCATTCCCCATTTCAGTATATATTAACTATAGTTTTAACATTCCAGCACCACTTTTGTTTAACAAAAATTAATTGCCTGGGTGCCAGTGATAACGTATCTTTAGAGCATGCCGCAACTTTGCTCCCTTAAAAGAAAAGTAGAAGAAAATGAGCACAAAGTCTTTTGAGTTAATGTTTTAAGAAGTAGGTAGAGAGAGAATAAGGAATGCTACTGCAGGTGTTATTTTTAGGAAGTTATTTGTACCTTGATGCTCATTGCTTTCCCCACCTCCCCACCCCAGCTTTGCCAGAGATAACTCCTGTGCAACCTAAATCACTTTGACAATTACCGCGGATTTAAAGGAGTGTTCTGGTAATCCTCAGGGGAGCAACTGGATTAAGTGAAACAATAAATAAGCCTCCAGGAAGCTTAGGTATCAAATATTCATTTGAAAAGCAAAACAAAAAAACAAAGGCCAGGTGTGGTGGCTCATGACTGTAATCCCAGCACTTTGGGAGGATGAGGCGGGCGGATCATTTGAGGTCAGGAGTTTGAGACCAGCCTGACTGAAATGGTGAAATCCCATCTCTACAAAAATACAAAAATCAGGCATGATGGCAGATGCCTGTAATCCCAGCTACTCCTGAGGCTGGAGCAGAAGAATTGCTTGAACCCAGGAGGTGGAGGTTGCAGTGAGCCAAGATCATGCCACTGCCCTCCAGCCTGGGCAACAGAGCGGGACTATTAAAAAAAAAAAAAAAAGTACAAATGATAGGAGTCTTTCTTTAAGATAAGGAGCCCTGAATTGTTGATTCTCGATTCTGTTGTCTCTGCAGTTGCTGATGTTCACATTTCAAGGATTGTCAGCTGCACAGCTGTAGAATCAGCAAACAGTGCCTCCATATCCCTCAGGAAGTCAGCCATACAGCCTTCCAACTGTAGGAGCATCTCATGTTGACGTCTTTGAATATCCCAGGATCCATCCTGAACCGTAGATGAACTAGGGCCCCAATCTTCAGCATCAGAGAGGGAGATGTTTTCCTGCATTTGGTTCTCACACACCTCTACAGACGTGGCTGGATCCCCTCTTCTGTCCCTCTAGGGAAGAGATGGCCTGGCATGGAGTCTGGCTAGACTACTGAACATTTATCATCATGTTTATGCTCCATCATCTTCTCTTCTTGTGACTTCTGGTCTTACAATCTTTATCCAGAAGTGATTCCCCAATTTCTTAGATCTTATTTGGAGGGAAAATTTGGATGTTTGAGGGCAAGAGAGGCACATGAAGGACTGGATTTGAACCTCCGCATGTCAGATCTTAAAGTTCATGGAATTAGGCACACATTGCTATAGTCAGTGGAACCCTCAAATCTGATCTTACTATAACCCTACGTGATATTTAAAAATGCTCCAGATTTCCAAAACACTATAAAACAAATTATCCGAATTTCAGACATGTGACCATCTGTAAGTGAAGATATTCAAGTTTGATTATGATATGTCCTTGTCTTGGAGTTTATGAGGAGAGTTTATGAGTAGTTTATTCAATAGACATTTCTTGGAGCTAAACATATATATGTGCATATATGTATAAGTATGAAACAAAGAATTTAAAACAATAAAGAAGCTAGAAATAATAGTGTATCACATTTACTGTCCACTTTTCCTATTCCAGACACTGGGATAAGGGCTTTTAAGGGAGTATTCATTAAGAAAATCTAGGATCACACATCTTATAGATTCTAGAGCCAGTCTGTTGGTACATCTGGACTGAGTCTAAGGGTTTAACCTCCACAATACAACAGTCACACTATACAAAATACAGCGTAAATTGGTACCAATGGGACATCTGCAGAATGATTTGAGGAGAAAAAACTTTTTGAAAGACACATTTAAAGCCTAATTTTGACGTACAATGCTGTGGCTCCAGGCTATAGGTTATATTAACAACTTAAAGTACATAGATTTACAAGTTTGAAAATCGGTTAAGATTTTGAAAGGAATAGATGCCACATGTACTAACTTAAATTTACAGCGCAAGTAAGTTACTTCCAGTTCCCATTCCTTCATCTCTCCAGTCCACCAAACACCACTGAGAAAATATCCATCAATTGTCATTTCAACTCAAAACCCTTCCCGTCATCACCTGCCCAGGATTTGTTTCACAAATTCATCTAAGTTGCCCCTTCTCAGCAGAAAACCTTCATGATCTTAGTCCTTATCAGAGGCTCTTATAGACATTGGTGGAATAAAGTCTAATGATTGTTTCATTTTTTATCTTCAATTGTCTTGTTTTTACAGCCACATCATTTTTGTTAATCACACATTCTCATTCCAAACTCCCTCCATCCCTCCCCTTGCAAAGACGAAAAATACACAAAATTGAGCTCCTAATGAGATTGGTGGCAAGTGTTACTTAAAAGTATTCCTTCGAAGACTTGCAGTGGATACAATTCTAAGACAGGAGATGGGACCCTCTTAAAAGATAGAGTTCAATTTAGACAGAAGGGCTTTCTGCTTTTCATTTGTGTTTGTTGAACAGTTGTTTCGTCAGTGGCTGCCTGAGAGAATCTGCCGATGATTTGACTCTGAAACTCTAGAAAAGAGTGCCTGCAGAAGTGAGTGTTCAGAAATCAGCTAACTGCTTCTCTAGACGGGACAAATACCCTTCTTTTTGGAATCCATTCATGCCTTTCCCAAAGGGACATTGTCACACAGTGTTTACACAAGTGCTTCCTATTTGTGACTTTGCCAGAATTGTGTTCTGTGTAATTCTGCTTACACGCCCTAGACTTCTTGAATTGCCAACATTCAGGCATCATTAGTGACCTCATTAATGCCATTTTGATAAAGTGTTTACATCATTGCTTCTCTTATATCTTGTTCTTGACGCATGTTGGGATGTCTGTTCCACATTTCGCCACATCCTTCATTTACCACATATTTGTTTGATGGGGTGTTTTTCAAGTTGCTAGTGTTCTGTACTTTTAATCCTTTTGGGCTAGAACCCAAATATTTGGTGTGCCAGGTCATGAGTGTTGCACCTTGACAAGAAAAATTCCAGTAAAGGCACCATAATGAGAAAAGTACTGTCTCTCCAGAGGTCTCATGTAGTTCACCTCCCTCCCTCAGGGCTACGTCAGGAAGAGTCACTTTTCTTCTCTGTACTTCTGTAGAATAATGACAGCCAGTTAGACTTGGATGTCCACAACTGCTGTTTTTTTTTTCTTTTACCAGTTCTAGGTAATTTCATTTCCACAATGGCTGTCTTTTACAGGGTGTGAGCTGCCTACTCTCTGGAATTGGTTGCTTTCCTGATGGAAATAGCTTCTGCCTCAGATCACCTCATCTTCCCTAGGTCCTGATACTGACTTCCCTGTGTGTTCAGTTACTGAATGACAGCCTTAACCTTAGCCTTGGGCTGTATGCTCCTTTAAACAGGATAAGACGCCCTGTTTCATAGAAGAGCTACGGCCAGGGTTGTCCAGCCCTGCTTTATCCCGGTTGGATCTCATCTGTGTGAAACCTATCTCAGAAATTTCTGCACGAATCTCTGGGGTTAGTAAACGGAGCTTTTGTTATTGGTGCTCCCCTCAGCAATTAGCAATTCCATTTATTCTGTTTTCGATGATCTCTCTTTGTTAAGTAGCAAAAACAATGTTAACTTTCTTTGCTGCTGAACATTTGACGTGCAGGTGTGCACTTTGACTGTTTAGAGGGGTAACTCTATGCAGCTGCACCTACAACAGCATCTACTTCTTGGCTGCCTTCCTTTTTTTTTTTTTTTGAGACGGAGTTTTGCTCTTGTTACCCAGGCTGGAGTGCAATGGCACCATCTCGGCTCACCGCAACCGCCGCCTCCTGGGTTCAGGCAATTCTTCTGCCTCAGCCTCCTGAGTAGCTGGGATTACAGGCACACACCACCATGCCCAGCTAATTTTTCGTATTTTTAGTAGAGATGGGGTTTCACCATGTTGACCAGGATGGTCTCGATCTCTTGACCTCGTGATCCACCCGCCTGGGCCTCCGAAAGTGCTGGGATTACAGGCGTGAGCCACCGCGCCCAGCTAATTGTTTGTATTTTTAGTAGAGACGGGGTTTCACCATGTTGACCAGGATGGTCTCGATCTCTTGACCTCGTGATCCACCCGCCTGGGCCTCCCAAAGTGCTGGGATTACAGGCGTGAGCCACCGCGCCCCGCCGGCTGCCGTCTATCCAACCCCATCTCTAGCTTTTAAAGTGGTATTTTTGATTCATGGCTGCACTCAGATCATCCGGAGAGCTTTGAAAACATAAAGTTGCAGCCCCAGCCCGGACATACTGCATTGGAGTCTTTGTGGGTAAGAGCTGGGTGTTCTAAAAAATACCTTCTAGGCATTTCTCAAGTGCAGCAGTTACGTCTCAGCCTGTCCATTACTGTGACATTTACTCTACTGGCTGTGATTGGTTTACTCCTTAAACAGGGGTGCACATTCACACTTAAGGGCCAGGTGAACACATGTGGTCCAAGTTGCTGATGACTCTTGTCTCGTGACCACCCTTAGGTAGAAATTGATGCTTTGGACAAGAAAGCAGAGAGAATGCTCTCTGATGACATCTCTTAGCCTTTGAATCAGTTAACCTCTAAATTTGCCATACCTCCGAACTTCTTGTTATTTAAGAAAATAAATTTCTAAGCTGAGGAAACTGAGATCAAAGGGATTAAATCACACGTGGAAGAAACGAAAACTTAAGTCTTCAGTTCAGTGTTCTTTCTATGCATTCCATGAAGATACTTGTCAAACAAATTGGTGAGATTTCATCTCCTTTGGGTATATACCCAGAAGAGGGATTGCGGAGTCATATGGTGATTCTATTTTAATGTCTTTAGGAATCTCCACGCTGTTTTTCATAATGGCCATTAACGTTCCTACCAATAGCACACTAGGATTCCCTGTTCTTGACATCCTCACTAACCTTTGTTATCACTTGTCTTTTTGATAATAGCCCTCCTAACAGGTGTGAGGTGAGTGGCTTTAATTTTTATTTCGCTGATGGTTAGTGAGGTTAAGCCCTTTATAATATACCTGTGGGCCATTTTTTAATGGTATACACTAATTAAATATTTTTAATTTTTAAAAACTTTATAATTGACACATAATGATTGTACATTTTTATGAGGGACAGTGTGATGTTTCAATATGTGTGTACATTGTACAGAGATTAAATCAGGATATTTAATCTCAGTCACCTCCAACCTTTATCATTTCTTTGTGGTAAAACCTTCAAAATCCTCTTTACCAGCTATCTTGAAATACACAATTCATTGGCCTTTTCCTCATTCTTTTTATTTTTTGTTTTTATTTAGTTTAATTTTATGAGTACATAGTAGGCGGTGTATTATGGGGTACATGAGATATTTGGATACAGGCATACAATGTGTAATGCTCCCATCAGGGTAAATGGGGTATCCACCACCTCAAGCATTTATCCTTTCTTTCTGTTGTTAGAAACAATCCAATTATACTCCTTTACTTATTTTAAAGTGTACAATAAATTATTGATTGTAGTCATGCATCTGTGCTGTCAGATACTACATCTTCTTACTCTGTTTAGCTGCATATTTTTACCCATTAACCATCCCCACTTTCCCTGACCCTCACCACTACCCTTCCCATCTTTCTGCTCTCTATCTTCATGAGTTCAATTGTTTTGATTTGTAAATACTACAAATGAATGAGAACATGTGAAGTTTGTCTTTCTGTGCCTGGCTCATTTCACTTAACACAACATCCTCTCGTTCCATTCATGTTGTTGCAAATGACAGGCTCTCATTCTTTTTTAATGGTTGAATAGTACTTCATTGTGTATATGTACCACGTTTTCTTTATCCATTTGTCTGTTGGTGGACACTTGGGTTGCTTCCACATCTTGACTCTTGTGAATAATGCTGAAATAAACATGGGATTGCAGATATCAATTCAAGATAGTAATTTCCTTTCTTTTGGGTATTTACCTAGCAGTGGGATTGCTGGATCATGTGGTAGCTCTGTTTTCGGTCTTTCGGGGAACTTCCCAACTGTTCTCCACAGCGACTGTACTAATTTATGTTACCATCAACAGTATATGAGGCGCCCTTTTCTCCACCTCTTTGCCAGCATTTGTTCTTGCCTGTCTTTTGGATAAAAGACATTTTAACCAGGGTGAGATCATGTCTCATTGTGGATTAGATTTGCCTTCTCTGATCAATGTGTTGAGTACCTTTTCATATACTTTGCCATTTGTATGTCTTTTAAGAAATGTCTATTAGATCTTTTGCCCATTTTTTAATCGGATTATTAGATTTTTTTTCCCTGTGGAGTTGTTTGAACTCCTTATGTATTCTGGTTGCTAACCCCTTGTCAGATGGGTAGTTTGCAAATATTTTTCTCCCACTCTGTGGGCTGTCTCTTCATTTTATAGATTTTTTTCTTTTGCTGTGCAGAAGCTTTTTCACTTGATGCGATCCCATTTGTCCATTTTTTTTTTTTTTGCATGGTTGCCTGTGCTTCTGGGGTATTACTCAAGAAGTCTTTGCCTAGTCCAATGTCCCTGAAAGTTTCCCCAGAGTTTCGTTTTAGGAATTTTATAATTTGAGGTCTTAGATTTAAGTCTTTAATCTATTTTGAGTTGATTTTTGTATATGATGAGAGACAGGGTCTGGTTTCATTCTTCTGCATAGGGGTATCTAATTTTCTCAGCACTGTTTATTGAAGAGACTGTACTTTCCCCAATGTATGTTTTTGGGATATTTGTGTAAAGTGAGTTCCCTGTAGATGTATGGATTTACTTCTGGATTCTCTATTCTATTCCATTGGTATGTGTGTCTGTTTTCATGCTAATACCATGCTGTTTTGGTAGCTATATCTCTGTAGTATAATTTGAAGTCAGGTAATGTGATTCCTCCGGTTTTGTTCTTTTTGCTTAGGATAGCTTTGTGTATTCTGGGTCTTTTCTGGTTCTATAGTCATTCCATGTAAATTTTAGGATAGTTTTTCCTATATCTGCAAAGAATGTTATTGGTATTTTGATAAGGATTGTATTAAGGATTGTACTAAATCTGTTGATTGCTTTGGGTAGTATGGACATTTTAACAATATTGATTCTTCCAACTTAGGAACATGAAATATCTTTATTTTTTAATGTGCTGTTCAATTTCTTGCATCAGTGTTTTACAGTTTTATTGTATAGATTTTTCACTTCTTTGGTTAATTCCTTAGGTATTTTATTTGTAGCTACTGTAAATGGGATTATTTTCTTGATTTCTCTTTCAATATGTCTTTAGGTTTTGCCAAATATAAAATCATGTCATCTGCCAACAAGGATAATTTGACTTCTTTCTTTTCACTTTGAATGCCTTTTATTTCTTTTGCCTGACTGCCCTAGCAAGGACTTCCTGCAATACATTTAGTTAGTAGCTGTAGTCACCCTACTGTGCAATAAAACATTAGAATTTATTCTCCCTATCTAACAGTAAGTTTGGATCCGTTGACTAACTTTTCAGCTCCCTCTACCCTCTGGTAGCCACCATTTAAATCTGCTTCTATGAGGCCAACTTTCCTAGATTCCATGTATAAATGAGATCAAATAGCACTTGTCTTTCTTTGCCTGGTTTATTTCACTTAACATCACAACCTTCAAGTTCATCCATTTGCCACAAATGACTGACTTTCATTCCTTTTTTATAACTGAATAGTATACCATTGTGTAAATATACCACGTTCTCCTTATCCATTCATCAGATGATGGACTTCCAGGTTGATTCTTAGGTATTATGAATAGTGCTGCAGTCACTGTGGGAGTGCAGGTATGTCTTTGATATACCGATTTTAATTCTTTTGGATGTATACCCAGCAGTGGAATTGCTGGGTTGTATAGTAGTTCCATTTTTAATTTTTGAGGGATTTTCACACTGTTTTCCATAATGACCGTCCTATTCTATATTCTCACCCCTGTTGGCCTTTTTTATCTTATTTGGAGAAATATGTGTCAAGTCCTTTGCCTACTTTTTAGTTGAATTATTTATTTTTATGCGATTGAGTTGTCAGAGCTCTTTACAAATTTTAGGTATCAACCCCTTATCAAATATATGATTTGAAAGTATTTTTCCCAGTTGATAGGCTGCCTTTTCATTTTGTTGACTGCTTTCTTGCTGTGATTAAACTTTTTGGTTGGATATAATCCCATGTATTTATTTTTGCTTTTGTAGCTTTAGTTTTTGGTTTGATACCCAAAAAAGCATTGCCAAGGCCCGTGTCAAAGATTTTCTCCTCCTATATTTTCTTCTAAGAGTTTTATGGTTTGGGATTTTACATTTAGGTCTTTTATCCATTTTAAGTTGATTTTCATATCTGGTATATGATAAGGGCCCAGTTCTTTTGCATGTAAAAATCGAGTTTTCCATTTATCAAAGAGAGACTGTCTTTTTCCCATTGTGTTCTCTTGGTGCCCTTGATGAAAATTAGTTGACTGCATGTGTTTAGACCTATTTCTTGCCTCTCCATTTTTCCCATTGCTCTATGCTTCTGTATAGTATATCAGTACTATACTGTTTTGATTACTATAGCATTGTGGTGTAATTTTAAATTAAGAAGTCTGATGCCTCTAAGTTTATTTTTTTCTTTTTCAATATTGCTTTGCCTATTGTAGTTTTTTTTTTACGTTCTATGTAAAATTTTAGAATTATTTTTGTCTTTCTATGAAGAATGCTATTTAAATTTGATAGAGATTACATTAAATCTGTATATTGCTTTGGATAGTATGGACATTGTACCATATTCTTTTAATCTGTGAACACAGAATATCTTCCATTTATTTGTTTCTTTTTAAGTTTTTTTATCTATATTTTATTGTGTACAAGTCTTTCACTTCCCTGGTAAGTTTATTCCTAAGAATTTTTAAAAAATGAGATTGTTTTCTCGATCTCTTTTTCAGCTATGTTGTCATTGGTGTATAGAAATGCTACTGATTGAACTTCATCTTCACTTAAAAGAAATGCTATTGATTTTTGTATGTTGATTTTGTATTCTGTAACTTTACTAAATTAATGTATCCGTTTTAACAGTTTTTTGTGGAGTCTTTAGGGTATTCTGCATGTAGAATCATGTTGTCTGGAAACAGATAATTTTGCGTCATCCTTTCTGATTTGAATACCGTCCTTTTATTTCTTTGTGTTCCCGTGTTAATTACAGCATTATTCACGATAGCCAAAATATGAAAAGTACCCAAGTGTTCCTTGACGGAGGGACAGATGAAGAAATGGAATATGATTCAATCTTAAAAAAATGAGAATTTAAGGTTGAATATTATTCAACCTTGAAAAATGAGATTCTGCCATTTGCCACAATGTGAATGCACCATTTTACTATTTATATGTTTTCTGTAATATAGTATTAACTTCAAATATGCACAGCAGAATTATTAAAAATATAAACAGCCAGGCCCAATGGCTCATGCCTGTAATCCCAGCACTTTGGGAGGCCGAAGTCGGCGGCTCACGAGGTCAGGAGATTGGGACCATCCTGGCTAAAACGGTGAAACTCCTTCTCTACTAAAACTACAAAAAATTAGCCAGGTGTGGTGGCATGTACCTGTAATCCCAGCTTCTTAGGTGGCTGAGGCAGAATTGCTGGAACAGGGAGGTGGAGGTTGTGGTGAGCCGAGATCGCACCACCATGCTCTAGCCTGGGCGACA